ATATTAGAACTTTCATAGAATGAAGGTTCTTTGAAGGTTTTGAAGGATGAAGAATGAATAGCTTAATTGACACCAGACTGCATATCTATTTTAGGCACCTAGGACAGGTTGGAGGAACATGGTAGAAGGTTATACAAGAAATATAATTCCTGTACCCAGGAGAGGTTATGAGAGGTTTCATTCCTTCCCTTGTATGAATTGGTTCAAAATCGTAAAAATAAGAGCTATGGCAGAAAATCAGCAGCCCAAATTCTTATAGCTGCTGATTTTCCGAATTAAAATTAATGTCACATTTTTCTTCCAAGGCAAAATTAAAGGCGAGGATGGAGGACAAGGACAAAATATTATGGCACTTTAAAACCTAAGAAATTTGTTTCAGCGTGAACCTTTATAGATCGAAATCTACTTCCTCAGACATAAAGGTCCACCTCTCTCCAAAGGTTTACTTTGAATGCATGACAGGGGAACTACCCACCTTCATAATGGTAAACACTCTTCCCATTCTGATTTTAAGGAGAGAAGCCCAGAGCAGGGACTTATGCAGTGGAGTACTGGGCAGTTTACTGTCAATGAATTCTGTGGTGTCTCTGCATGAGCAGTGATCCAATGATCTAATCACAGTTTATGCAGACCTTTACTAGAATTGCCGGCCTTGGAGAGAAAGAGATTGGACGGAAATAAGCAGTGGATCATGCAGTGGTACATCAGGCAGACTCTCATTTGGGCAGGTGCTTTGTAGACTTTCTTTTTTATATATAATGTATTTCTTGAAGCACAGCAGCTTTTCTTTCATAGATAACATTTTGTTATCTGCAGATGCTTGAACTGTTCTCCTCATGCTTTGTGTCTGGGTCTTTTTTCATTTTTAGGTAAACAGTGATATTGTATACTCAACAGCAATGAAAGATGGAACTAAAGTGGTTCAGCGTGTTGACAAGATCCAGGTTGGGAAATTAATCCTGACAAAAGAATTGGGTTCTGATAAGATGAAGAACATTACTGAGCAGTACAAATTCCAAGAAGGTAATTTCTAGACAAAACTCAAAAGTCAATTAACGGAGCTGCATCAGTCTAAGTCCACACACTTATTTCAGAACAACATTCCTCAGTAACTAAAATGAGATGAACATACCTCAGTTTAATAAATTAAAACAGGAGCAAACCTTTTGGTCACAATAGTTCTCTGTGGTAGGTTGAGCCATGATGGCACATAATAATCCTAGGCCTTCCAGGCATTAGTCCAACATGGTAACTGCTACAGCACCTTAGTTTGCATGAAGGATGGAAACCCATGTCAGATTGCATGTGATAGGTCCCTTGAATCAAGATTTAACTTAGAGGATGAAATTGCCCTGTTCTCCTTCTTTGCCAAATTGCTCCCAAATCACCCACATGGTGTTTACCTAATCAATGAAGACTTTGCTTAATCCCATTAATTATCATCACTAACTAATGCAAAATCGAAGTACATATAACTGAAAGTCTACATATTCATCTGTAATCCTCACCTCTTTTTTTGTATCCTTCCCTATTGTGTGCCTCTATATTGATATTATCAGAGCAGGAATAATTTATTTTATGTACAGTAGTTAAGTTCCATGTATCTGGGTGACATGGTGTAAACAATTAACATGGATACTTTCTCATCTGTAGACCTTATGCTCTGACATCAAGCAGTAGTATCTACACACTGGCCACATTCATAAATCATGCTACACTGTGCATGAATTAATTATAACAAGTCTAAGACTTCCCTTTCCCCTCTGCTTCTCCTGGACAGCTGAGAGGATTATCTATCTATCTATCTATCTATCTATCTATCTATCTATCTATCTATCTATCTATCTATCTATCTATCTATCTATCTATCTATCTATCTATCTATCTATCTATCTATCTATCTATCTATCTAT